ATATTTTAGTCAGGTATAGATTTGGTTTGTGAATATTGATATTTGTAAGAAAAGAAAAAAGAAGAAAAATAGATGTTTATTTTACCTTTGTACTATATTTGGCATTAATCTTATGTTAATTAGAAGAATATATTAGCACCGTTTTTTTTAACCACATATTTAAATTTAAAATTATTTTTTTGATTGGTTCTTTAATCTAAAGAAAAATGTAGATGAAATAAGATATTTCAAATCCGATTCTAATTGAACAGGTTGAAAAATTGCATCTAAAATTTAGAGTAAACAAGAAAAAAGAAAAAAATAAATGATTTATCAAAAAAATCTGTATAATGCTCGAATTTTACATCATTAACATATGATAATTTGACCATCTCGATTTTTTTCCGTCTATTTAAAAAAAAGAGAATACTCGACATAGAGCATATTTAGTGTTTCTGATTATGAAATGAATGAATGAAATACTTCTCCTTTAAAAGTGTGACTTTACAACCACCGATTGCAATCAGTTGGAACTTGGGAGGTATATCCAACTCAAATCCATCATAGAGTATGATTATGATTCTTTATAAAAAAATCATATGCTTACCATCGGACAACCACAATAAAGGATAACTGCATCGCACACGAATCATAGCTCTATTTATAATCTAAACCAATCTTATTGCTCCCGATATTTGAATCACAATAAAGTATTCGATTCAGAGTGGTGACGCTATCCACAATTTTGAAAGCAACTAAATTAGCCTGTTTTGGTTCCAAGTGCAATTTCCATGAAGGTAAACACTTCAAAAGTGAGGCAAAGATCACCCTTGTAAATCTTAGGGTCAAAACAGTTTCAACAGCCCAAAGAAAACTTTGAAGTGAAGCCTCTAGTTTTGTATTAACCAGGGAGAATAACCTTCTTCCATGAAGCAGCACCCCACTGTCATTCCTCAAAACCCAATTAGCAAATATTTGTCCACTTCAATTAGCAAATATTTAACACCACTAAAATATATTTTTAGTTTTACTGATGACAATTACATAGATACGTCCATGAACCCACACATACTGAATTTTTTGGGTAAATCTCTTGTACCCATATATTTGATGTTGTGGTTTTTGTATATTGTAAAAAGCATGGTAATCATTAATAACTTATTTGCTCAATGAACACGATTTAATATTCCTTCTACTCCTGGCATTATGATAATCAGCAACTGGCTATGATATAATTATAATATAGTAAAGCAATTTACATATACATTTTAAATTATAGTTTACTGGATCGTACTGTAAATATGAATTTATAACAAGTTTACATAGTATAATAGTATTTTGTTGTAGAAACCTTTCGACATTAAAAAATATACAACAAAAAGGAAAAAAATCGATTTTAATTAGTTTTTAATATTGACAGATTTATAAATATTTCACAGATTTACTTAATAGATTTTTTTTTTGCCATAAACTTACTTAACTTTAACAGATTTAATTAGCTTTCAATAGATTTATTTTCCATTGGCTACAAATTTTCTTAAATTTGACAAATTTATAAATATTTCACAGATTTATTTAACAGATTTTTTTTTAGCCATAGACTTACTTAAATTTAACAGACTTAATTAGCTTTCAATAGATTTATTTTCCTTTGGTCACATATTTCTTTAAATTTGACAGATTTAATTAGTTTGTCACAGATTTATTTTCTTTTGTCCACAAATTTACTTATTTTGACAGAATTATTAGTATTCGATAGATTTATTTCTTTTTGCCACAGATTTATATATAGATTTGTATTCTTTTGCCCACATATTTATATGATAGATTTGTATTCTTTTGACCACAAAATTATTATTTTTTAACCATAGACTAACTTATATAGGTTAACCTAACTATACAGTTTTGGCTAAACCAAACCGATCCATACCATATTAACCGAACTATAACCACTTCTTGTTTATGAATCCTCTAAAGCTTTCTCCTTTCCAGTGTTCATGAAATGGAATATATTTGGTGAATTCAAGTGTACTAAATATTGGAAACTATGTATGGGGTTCATTTCCAAAGCTTTCTATTCTTTCTCCAGGAAGATTCAGTGTGTGTTTAACATTCTTACATCTAACCAAAATGGTATTTAGCATTTGGTACATATCTAAAGTACTTTTGTTCGTTTGTATTAGGAAAGCAATTTAACTCTTATGTAACTTCAATTTTTGACGTGCTTATATGGTCAGACTGTTTCAATTTGTAGAATTCTTAGTTTCGAGAGTACTAGAAGGAGATCAAAGGATCAAGAAGTTGACTTTGGTGTGGTTTGCACTTGCTCACTTGAATAAGGACCCAACCCGTTGTTTCTCCTTCTTGCGGCTGTTGTTATGGCCAATCTGTCGCAGTTAGAATCCAGGCGGTTATAGTGGTGGTGACAAGTAAGAGTAGTAAGTCATACTTTTCTTCTGACATGTGTTTTCCCCTTTGCGTAGAGTAGTTTCGGATACTTACGAAACCATATAAGAGAGAGAAGATAGAAAACGTAAGAATCAAATACTCATTTTCCTATGTAAAATGTAAAAACCAGAGTACCAAAATGGCATGCAAGAACGTTTTGGTACAAGAACAATATTGGGTGCAATCCATCACAAATTGAAGAGATTTAAGCAAATGAAACAAAAGCATCTTCATGGTCAGTAC